TAAGTGGTACGAGAACTTTAGGACTTTGGTATCGAAAAGGCACTCATATTGACTAAATTAATTATTCTTATGCCGATTGGGCCGGATGTAATGTTGATCGTAAAAGCACTAGCGAAAATTGTCACTTTTTAGGCTTTACACTCGTGTCTTGGTCTAGTAAGAAACAAAATTCCGTTGCACTATCCACCACCGAGGCCGAATATATCACGGTCGCTAGTTGTTGTGCACAAACACTTTGGACGAAACAAACTTTATGTGATTATCATTTGACTTACGATCGTATACCCATTTTATGTGATAATACTAGTGCTATAAATTTATCTAAAAATCCCGTTTTACATTCACGAACTAAGCATATCGAGATTCGACATCATTTTCTTCGTGATCATACCCAAAAAGGAGATATTGAATTAGAATTTATAAAAATCGAAGACCAATTGGCTGATATTTTTACAAAACCTCTCGCGCATGACCGTTTTTCCTACATTTGAAGAGGTTTAGGAATTCTTGGAGAAAATGAAATAAATTGAGTGATAGAACGTTTTAAATTTCTCTTGCATGTTTTTCATTTTACTTTCTCAAAATCATTTAAAAAAAAAAAATTTATCCCGACGAGCCAAACTTGTCCGGACTATACTGTTCGGATTGGCAGAGTGTTCCATTAAATTTCAAATTTTTGTCATCCGAACGTCCGGATTATGACAGGGACGTCCGGAACATCGCAATCCAGCTTTTAAACCACGCTTCCATCTCTTTCGTCTTCTATTTCTCTCCATCTTCTTCGCCATTTTGTCTGCAAATCCACACTTTTGCACCTTTTTTGTTCAAATATTGTTCATTTAATCTATTACTCGAAAAAACCCGACCGATTAACACCACTTTTCACCCAAAAATCAAAAATTTACCTTCCAAAATCACCTTTGACTCTCATCTCGAATCCCTCTTCGATCTTGAAAATTTTCTTGCAAATCCCACATAATAACTCAAGCATTTCATATACCATTACTCTCCTCCACTAATAGCTTGATTTTTCATAGCAAAATCATCCTTTTGAGTGTGCCCTAGAAATCACTCGTTTGGGTTTTTGTGATTTTTTCCTAAAATTGTGGAAATCTCACCCATTTCTCTACTATGTCGGGTTTCGATCGTGGAAAACGGGGAAGAAAAAGTGTGTGACGACCTCCTTCACCATCGGACCATGAAATGGATTCGGAACTGGAGGTGCAACCGAATCCTTTTGAAAAATCGCCCATTTTAATCGGTAAGAATGTTGATTTTATGAATTTTACTATTGAAGCTCCTGCATTTCATATTGAGGAATGTTTTGAACAAATGGGATGGGTAAACGTAGCTACAATGGAAGAACATGCTTATCCACGTCTAATGAAAGAACTTTATCAAAAAATGCACTTTTCACCACGTTCCGACGAGATCACATGATTTGTTAACAATGTTCGCTTTACAATTTCAAAAGCCCTAATTCGTACTATTCTTAATCTTGAACCTTGTGATTTGGAAGTATTTTTACATAAATCTCGCCCAACGGTGGATGGTTACAATCCTTCCGATGCATGTCGTCGAGTCACGGGGAAAGTTTCTAAAAATATCACAAAATTAAGTGCATATCAATTAACTCTTCCTTGCAAAGTTTTACAAAATATAATTGCGCATGTTATTTTTCCCGCAAAGGTCATTGGGCCGAAGTTAATCACTTCGATCTCTTTATTTTGGACTCTCTCTTAGTCGGGCGTAAACTTTATTTTCCCACTATTGCACTTGGTCTTATGAAACTTGTGCATGCATCACGACACACTAAAGCTTTACCTTACGGGATGCTTCTCACAAAAATCTTTAAACACTTTAACATTTCATTGGAGGGTGAAGATTTTATAAAATTACGCCCTACCAATACTATTAACATTCAAACCTTAAAACGGATGAAGATAGTAAAGGAACACGGGCAATGGGTAGCTCATACGAAAGGGTTCGATCCTACCTCCGGTCCATCCACTCTCCCATTTGAAGATGAGGCTGAATCAGACAACGAAGTACCTAAAGTTCCTGCTCCAGCATCTGACATTCCTGGCTCGAGTGTGCCTCCTACTCGAGAGCGTTCCACAGTTACCGAGGAGCACTATAATCTTCTCCATGGGCGGATTGATTCTCTTACCTCATCGGTCGACAGCATGGGTAGTCTACTTCTCCAGATGTAGACTCAGCATATATCTATCCAGGACCAACAGCTCAAGATGCAGCAGCAGTAGCTTGAGATGCAGCAGCGACAGGCTGAGATGTAGGCTCAGCAGACTGCATTTTTCACCGACTTTTATGCTAGATTTCCTCCTCCGCCCCCACCTCCGGCCCCTTAGTTTACTTTCTTGTCTACTATTATTATCATGTTAGTTGTTATCTATTGCTATTTTATCTTTTGAATGGTTAACTTCCTAAGTTTTTCCTTCATGCTATTTGACTTGTTCTATCTTTTTGCTTATGCCAAAAGGGGAAAGAAAATGAGTAGATGATTATGCATTATAGTAAGGGGGAATGTTATAAAATGATATATGCATATTGACAGGGGAAATATTACTTGCAATATACAGATTATGCTCCTGATTATTTGATGCTGATTCAATTTATTCAATATTTATTTTGCAAAAATCATCTTGTTTGTCATAATCAAAAAGGGGGAAATTGTTGTCCTAATGGTTGACTTCTTTTTTTGATTATTACAAACAAATTGCGTTTGATTCTAACAAATTGAATTTAAGTGATTGACAGTGATTATTGCAAATTTATGACACGAAAGATTTAGTTCGAGAATCATGCAACCTTGGTGCAAAACGATATACACACAAGATTTACGAACAAGGAAATGAAAATCGAGCTCTCACACACCAAATTGCATTGGATGAAGAAATTGAAGACATTAGCTATAGATGCATTTGTATACTCAAGTGTAAAGGTAAAACACTTTAATATTTCGCATCGATCATAGCTCAAACAACCTTCATGCACGGGAATTATCATAACAAACTTTACTTGCATAAATTTTTTTTTTCAAAAGATAAGTAATTTAATTTTTCACAAATCAAACATTTATGAAATTACTTATCTATAAAAAGTATATAAGAAAACCGTTAAAATACTTTAAAAAAACTTTCTTTAAGAAAAAGGAAAAAGTTTGGTGGGAAAATAAAAAGGCTATCCGGACGTCCGAATGAGATGTCCAACAGTCAAATTTTTTAACTGTTTGACAAATGGCTAGTTACACATCCGGATACCAAGAGGACGTCCGAATCACGTGTCCGGATCTCCCGATTGTTGGCTATAAATACCTTTCTTTTTACCTTCTTAAAGTGAGATTTTTAGAGTATTAAAGAGAGTTATTTATTAATCTTATCTACCTTATTTCTCAATCTTTAAGAGGTCAAAATATTTATTTGTTGAAAAACTTTTTGAGTAAGTAACTTTGTAAAAAAAATCATATATCTCGATAAAAGCCTTTCACACAACACTTGAGCTATATTCTTTGTGATTTATTGAAGTGTTGTGCCTACTTCCCTCTTAATACTTCGTTGTATTCATATCATTTGTTAAGAGAGAAGCCTTTCAAGTGTAACCTTGATTCTCTTGTTCATTGAATTGTGGGTCGTGTTGAGGTCCCGTAAAGCTCAACGTGTTAAAGGATGGGTGCTCCTTAGTTGTAAGTCACCGGAAGGATTATAAGGGTTGGATTGCACCACAAGTCAATCAAAAATAGTGAAAAAGGCCTTGCTCGTGACGGAGAGCTTGGTAACGGGGGACATAAATCGTGATTGGATCGAACCTCCTTATTACATCGTTTGCACTCTCTTTTTCCTTCTTTGTATTATTTTTGTGTTATCTTGTTTATTCATTGTTATTTGCCTATATTTGCATTTATTTTCGAAAAAGTATTAAATAACCAATTCACCCCTCTTGATTCATTGTTCTTGGACTTTCAGCTTGTACAGAAAAAATTCTGCCACAAACTCTAGGCAGATTTCTATTCGACATGGCAAAATAGAAAAGCGCAAACCAACCAGAAGATACCACTGCAAAATCTAGTAAAGTTCTGACAAATCTGATATTCTCCTTCTGTACAAGCAGATTTATTCATCGTGAAAATGGGCGAAGACAGACATGTTTGCAGATTTATTCATTGTGAAAATGGGCGAAGACAGACATGTTTGTTGTGAATTATATATTATTTCATTACATCCCCACGTTATAGTTTGATTCAATCAAAATCCCGTTAACTTTCTTTGTTTGCAAAATCATACACAGAAAAATTCAATTGTCACAACCTTGATGTTACGTTCTAACGCAGGAGTTTAAAATATTTATATTTTCTAGAAAACTAAGCGAGAGAACAAGGTTATTTCCTCGAAAACTTTTGCCAAAACCATTTGTATAGCAAACTTTTGCTCACATAGAAAGAACGTATTATTGAGAAATTAATAGTTAAAACGAGGTGTCGGCCTTAACTATTATGATAACTGGTAAGAAATCAAGTTAGAATGACTCTTATATTTAGACCAATCCTGTGACTAAAATTAAACATTACTCCAGACATATTTTAATTACTTTTTGATGAATTACTACAAGAACTCCTGAAATTCATTCATGCACCAGATCCATTGACTGAGTGTTCATTTTTATGCCTCATTCACCAAAGCCATCAGGACATGTTTTGATACGTGGTGTCGGAAAGATCTACACAAAATCAACCTTACTACTACATATATACATCAATGATTACATAATGTCATATAATACTCTACCATTTGCCTGTTTAAAATATAATCAATTTTTTCATCCAATTTTTTCCGTTCAAATCATTTTCGATAACCACTCCACTTATGTTCCATTTTTATGTACAAGTAGCAAAATCCACACAAAATAATAGACAATAATTAACTGATTTTTCGTTCTTGTTACTTTCCAGTAATGTGGAGTCTACCTTACCAATGGACAAAACATACCACTAGAGCATTTTCCCATCGCACATGATTTCACTTGAAAGTGACAATACACAACAATTAGCTGCTAAAACAGTAAGATAAAACAATAAGACAAGGCACAATAATCATCCATAAGTGCTCCAAGTAGCGCATACACAAAAATCTCACACTTACTAGAGTTAAGGTAATGGAAAACAGACCATGTTTATAATGAACACCATCACATTAAGAAGAAACCTATTTCCAAAAGCAGTTTGATCTTCCAAAATCAACCGGCAAAAATAAGTTTTTACATCCACCGACCAAACCTAGCAAAAAAGGAGAAAAAAAAAATGCAACTATCACAAATCGGTCTATAAATAACAAACAAATTTCTATAACTCAGACCAGTGATAATGACTAGTTGCAAGTTAATAATGCAGTTTTAATAGAAAGTGCACGCTAAGGGCGTGATTATTAATTAGTATTAGACAGAACTAGAAAAGAACCTAAGATTTTGTAGATTATACCAGCAGGTTCTATCTAATACTGCATAGCAAACATATCAAAAATGTTACCTCACCGTAAATCAGTTCCAAGCTCAGTCTCAGAAGAAATATGGATCAAAGCCATAACCATCAGAATTGGAGTCATGAAAGTAATTATCACCATCAGAATTGTAGACGTTAAAGTAATCATCATAATCATAATATTCCCAGTCTGAAAACTCAGATGAGTAGTAGTAGTTTTCCTCAGATTTTACACAGTCAAAAATATCAGTATTCCACTCGCAATCTTCCATGGAATCGTAAGGATGCTTGGAATCTTTGATCTTTTGAGTAATTCTTTTCCCCAGATCCCCACTTAGATCAACTTTAAAACATCTCCGGATGTCAAGTGATTCAAGGAGTAGACAACCATCAAGAATGGCTTGCAGGCCCTCATTTGTCATATTATTTCCCAAAAGTTGAAGGTGGTGCAAACCCGGCATGCTTTTTGCAATTGCTAGTGCATCATCATTACAAGGGAGTTGTGAATGTTTGTACGATGACTCACTAAGTGTAAATGACCTCAACTTAGGGCAGGAACGACCAATAGCTTCAATACCGTCGTTACAACTCATTACAAATACCAAGTGCAGTTCTTCCAACAAGGGAAATCTTTTAGCTGCTTCACTCAAACCGTCACCTGATACTCCATAGCAACCCCCAAGTCGAAGACACCTAAGCTGACTTGACCTGTTGAACAGGTGAAATTTAGATTGCAAAAGTTATATGACTTGGAAAAGGGAATTATGTTTATTTTTCCATGCATATAATTAGACATAATCCTCTATAAGGGTTCAGCAACTTTATTGGTCAAGCCACGGGGTTATATCAGGCATCTTCACGCAAACATGACCATAACTAAAGCATCAAGGAAAAAAATACAAACAAAATGCTGATTGTTCAAACAATCTTTACAGTATTCAAGTAACTATTAAAATGCACTCATATTCTTTATCAAATATGGAAATTATACAGTTCAAATCAAGATGTCTGAACATCAAAAATGATCTCATAACATATGAAACATGTCAACAGGAAATGTAAGCCAACATTTGCAACATTGTGTTCACAAAATTTCCAAGTGAGCAAATATTAAACTAAGAATGCTCAGCAGAACTACAAGAGCACCTTTTCTTTCATATCCTTAAAAATCCTAAAATATGCATAACTATGAAATAGGAGGAAGCACCTCAAGAATCATACAATGTACATTCAGGATCAAAACTGAGCAAAATCAACCAAGATGAATATTTTGGACATACTGCAGGATTAATTCTTAATCAATCAAACAGTTAATTTGCCAAATAGTTCTTGTTCTGTTAAATTCATTCAAAACAAAAATTACAAAATAAATCTTACTAATAATAATATATTGTATTTTTTTAGATGCTACTCTTCTTCAATCATTAAAATTTCCCAACCCAAAATAATTCCAATTACACCGAGCCAAAATCAACATGATATGTCACTCTGTGTCTTTGGCCAATAAAACAGTATTTCATATAACTATAAATAGTTCCTACATAAATCTTTTCAGAACTTCTTCTAAAATCAATCAATTAGCAGTTCACAAATCGAAGCAATACTCACTACATGTTTATTTAATATAATGAGCAGATGATGTTTATGCAAAGGCACACGCCTTCCATCTATCAGGAATGTGCTCTCCATGCAAGGTTTTTGTCTGATTATTCTTTAAAATTTTGTATAATTAATAGCTAGGGAAGCTTAATCTTACAGGAATACTGTCATAATCCTAATTATACAAAACAACAAACACTTGTTACTATAAATAATTGAGAATTATGGCCAATAATTGCTCCTCTTGATTTAAAAATTTATCCCATAACTTTTTTTTCACAGGATTAACATTTCTTGGCAGCTACATCAAGTGATGCTTCTCTTTCAAAGACAAAATTCCCTAAAATTTCCATAGCTGCATATTGCATTGGCTAGTCTCATATATGGACCATTAAGTGCTAGAAAACTAGTTGCCAACTAGCCATTGTAAAATGTTACTCAAATGTCACGAGATTTAAAGAAAAACTTCATTACGAATCACCACCGTACAGTCATTTTTCTTTTCTTTACTTTACTTTTCATTTTTATCAATTGGTATTTTGGTATGCTATTAATTAGTACATATTATCAATCAAATGTGCTTTTATGTGCTTCTTGACAGAGTTTGAATATCAGATCAAACTTTGGAAATGAAGGATTGGACTGAAATAATTAGACCTCATTTGCAATAAACTAAGATGACAAACTATCCTTCCACTTCAATTGTGCATGCTCCCATGATTTATAAAGGAGTGACTGAGGTGTGCCTCAACCGAGGCACACGAAAATACTACTGGGGCACAAATTTTATTAGGCACAGAGAGACTTGTGCCTTTAGTGGCTGAGGCATAAACCTCGAGGTGCAATCCTGAGTGCGAGAGAGAGAGAGAGAGAGAGGTGCTCATGCGCATCTCCTTAATTATCCAGGGGACCACTTTTTCTTTAAACGTTTCATATTTCCATGGTTGAATTAATTGGAAATCTACTATATATTAAAATAGTTTGGGAAATCTATTATATTTTAATAAAACTTACCTAAGTCATTGATTATTAGCCATAAATTATAGCTGGAAATCCATCAAACACCAAAACCTAAGCTATGGATGGAAATTCACTATAATTCGAACACAAAACACAACACTGCAATCCTAGAACTTCATCACTCCCACTAAGAAGAGGCAGCAGGTTAGTCAATTTTTTTCCTTTTTAAAAAAAAAATGCAACTATCACAAATCGGTCTATAAATAACAAACAAATTTCTATAACTCAGACCAGTGATAATGACTAGTTGCAAGTTAATAATGCAGTTTTAATAGAAAGTGCACGCTAAGGGCGTGATTATTAATTAGTATTAGACAGAACTAGAAAAGAACCTAAGATTTTGTAGATTATACCAGCAGGTTCTATCTAATACTGCATAGCAAACATATCAAAAATGTTACCTCACCGTAAATCAGTTCCAAGCTCAGTCTCAGAAGAAATATGGATCAAAGCCATAACCATCAGAATTGGAGTCATGAAAGTAATTATCACCATCAGAATTGTAGACGTTAAAGTAATCATCATAATCATAATATTCCCAGTCTGAAAACTCAGATGAGTAGTAGTAGTTTTCCTCAGATTTTACACAGTCAAAAATATCAGTATTCCACTCGCAATCTTCCATGGAATCGTAAGGATGCTTGGAATCTTTGATCTTTTGAGTAATTCTTTTCCCCAGATCCCCACTTAGATCAACTTTAAAACATCTCCGGATGTCAAGTGATTCAAGGAGTAGACAACCATCAAGAATGGCTTGCAGGCCCTCATTTGTCATATTATTTCCCAAAAGTTGAAGGTGGTGCAAACCCGGCATGCTTTTTGCAATTGCTAGTGCATCATCATTACAAGGGAGTTGTGAATGTTTGTACGATGACTCACTAAGTGTAAATGACCTCAACTTAGGGCAGGAACGACCAATAGCTTCAATACCGTCGTTACAACTCATTACAAATACCAAGTGCAGTTCTTCCAACAAGGGAAATCTTTTAGCTGCTTCACTCAAACCGTCACCTGATACTCCATAGCAACCCCCAAGTCGAAGACACCTAAGCTGACTTGACCTGTTGAACAGGTGAAATTTAGATTGCAAAAGTTATATGACTTGGAAAAGGGAATTATGTTTATTTTTCCATGCATATAATTAGACATAATCCTCTATAAGGGTTCAGCAACTTTATTGGTCAAGCCACGGGGTTATATCAGGCATCTTCACGCAAACATGACCATAACTAAAGCATCAAGGAAAAAAATACAAACGAAATGCTGATCGTTCAAACAATCTTTACAATATTCAAGTAACTATTAAAATGCACTCATATTCTTTATCAAATATGGAAATTATACAGTTCAAATCAAGATGTCTGAACATCAAAAATGATCTCATAACATATGAAACATGTCAACAGGAAATGTAAGCCAACATTTGCAACATTGTGTTCACAAAATTTCCAAGTGAGCAAATATTAAACTAAGAATGCTCAGCAGAACTACAAGAGCACCTTTTCTTTCATATCCTTAAAAATCCTAAAATATGCATAACTATGAAATAGGAGGAAGCACCTCAAGAATCATACAATGTACATTCAGGATCAAAACTGAGCAAAATCAACCAAGATGAATATTTTGGACATACTGCAGGATTAATTCTTAATCAATCAAACAGTTAATTTGCCAAATAGTTCTTGTTCTGTTAAATTCATTCAAAACAAAAATTACAAAATAAATCTTACTAATAATAATATATTGTATTTTTTTAGATGCTACTCTTCTTCAATCATTAAAATTTCCCAACCCAAAATAATTCCAATTACACCGAGCCAAAATCAACATGATATGTCACTCTGTGTCTTTGGCCAATAAAACAGTATTTCATATAACTATAAATAGTTCCTACATAAATCTTTTCAGAACTTCTTCTAAAATCAATCAATTAGCAGTTCACAAATCGAAGCAATACTCACTACATGTTTATTTAATATAATGAGCAGATGATGTTTATGCAAAGGCACACGCCTTCCATCTATCAGGAATGTGCTCTCCATGCAAGGTTTTTGTCTGATTATTCTTTAAAATTTTGTATAATTAATAGCTAGGGAAGCTTAATCTTACAGGAATACTGTCATAATCCTAATTATACAAAACAACAAACACTTGTTACTATAAATAATTGAGAATTATGGCCAATAATTGCTCCTCTTGATTTAAAAATTTATCCCATAACTTTTTTTTCACAGGATTAACATTTCTTGGCAGCTACATCAAGTGATGCTTCTCTTTCAAAGACAAAATTCCCTAAAATTTCCATAGCTGCATATTGCATTGGCTAGTCTCATATATGGACCATTAAGTGCTAGAAAACTAGTTGCCAACTAGCCATTGTAAAATGTTACTCAAATGTCACGAGATTTAAAGAAAAACTTCATTACGAATCACCACCGTACAGTCATTTTTCTTTTCTTTACTTTACTTTTCATTTTTATCAATTGGTATTTTGGTATGCTATTAATTAGTACATATTATCAATCAAATGTGCTTTTATGTGCTTCTTGACAGAGTTTGAATATCAGATCAAACTTTGGAAATGAAGGATTGGACTGAAATAATTAGACCTCATTTGCAATAAACTAAGATGACAAACTATCCTTCCACTTCAATTGTGCATGCTCCCATGATTTATAAAGGAGTGACTGAGGTGTGCCTCAACCGAGGCACACGAAAATACTACTGGGGCACAAATTTTATTAGGCACAGAGAGACTTGTGCCTTTAGTGGCTGAGGCATAAACCTCGAGGTGCAATCCTGAGTGCGAGAGAGAGAGAGAGAGAGAGGTGCTCATGCGCATCTCCTTAATTATCCAGGGGACCACTTTTTCTTTAAACGTTTCATATTTCCATGGTTGAATTAATTGGAAATCTACTATATATTAAAATAGTTTGGGAAATCTATTATATTTTAATAAAACTTACCTAAGTCATTGATTATTAGCCATAAATTATAGCTGGAAATCCATCAAACACCAAAACCTAAGCTATGGATGGAAATTCACTATAATTCGAACACAAAACACAACACTGCAATCCTAGAACTTCATCACTCCCACTAAGAAGAGGCAGCAGGTTAGTCAATTTTTTTCCTTTTTATTTTTGTCAAATATTCTCATATTCTTTTTTTTTTTTTAGGTCATTTCTTTTTCTTGCTGGTTAGCTATTCTATATTTTCATATTTTTGAACTATTCACCAGGTTCAGGGTGAGGTTTACACCTCACCTCACCTCACGAACTTAAAATACCTGATTTCGCCTTTTTACTGCACACTACATGTTCTGATATTTAGAAAAGAGTACTACTCACTGACTTGACAGTGGAACAAAATCATGAAAGTTTTTCTCATGGAGACATTGAGGTCCAAAGGCTTTGCCTCTAAAACTGTACTTTCCATGCTTCTTCAGTTTAACCATGTTACTTGTCAGATTGCAAATAATCACATCTGGGAAAAATAAGCTCTTTAGAATACCGCTATCTACGCCTTATCCATGCCACCACCTTTGGATGAGAACGTTCAAGCATTCAACCATATAGTTCCTGATTACATCTATGCCTTTACTTTAGTAACGTATCTTTTTATTCTTGAAGTAAAAAGAGAACAAAATATCCCCTTTTGAATAGCCTACTCTTTTCTTCGATTTCACGATCAGGCAAGATTTAAAAAAAAAAAAAAGAAGAGTCTAATATAAGACTGGTCAACAGCCCAACACTAGTTGAATAAATTTCAAAGGTAATCACGAAAAGATATAGATGGGCTAGGAGCAGAAGAACATAAAAAGGCAGAGAAAAAGTATTCCCATGCAAACATACACAATCGATGGATCCCCTGTTTACCTACATTTAGTCTCATCACAAAAATAACAGGAAACAAAAAAAAAAAAGGATCCAGTTTTTCTTTATTTCATGCAGTATCTTATAAGTTATACCTTAACATAGAAAAGAAATTCAGAAAGCACAAGGACAGTATACAAACACCAATAAATCATAAATGTATTTCACTATATTCAAGAATGTCCTCAACTATAATTTTGATGAATTTTAAAAGATTATAAATCTTAACGAATTTCGTGAATTTGAATAGATTTCCACAAATTCCATAAGAATCTTGTGAAATTTCAAAAGCTTTGATTATACGTATTTTTAAACTTGAAATCTATCCAAATCTTTTGAAATCCCTATATTAATGAAATCTTTATAAATCCACTAGTTATTGAGGATAGTTAAATTTTAAAGGATTTCATTAAATTTCAGTAAAAATCTAGACACCTAAATTTTAATAGGTTTCATTAAAATCCATTAAAATCTAATTGAGGATACCTAAATTTAAAATGATTTTTAAAATTCGTCACAATCTCAATTGAACACCTCCCTTAATATCAGTAAGCACAAAAATCAGAAACTTTCACAAGCTTTGCATTATAGAAGTCGATCATGAGACTGCAATGAGAACAAATAAACTTCAAAATGTGCTTATTTTTACCACTAAAAGAACCAACAAAAATACGTACGATGGTTTGTACGTTATGCGTTGAGTATTTTGCATAAAGATTGTAACTGATGCATCATATTTAGAAGCATTTAGCATTTTTTTTCCTTTCGAAAACATATAAAATTCGAAATGAACCTATACCGTTCGGAGATGTACTGTAGCAATTCATCGGTGGCGAAATAGTCAATATAGATGTCAGTCAATTGGCCCTCGCTGCGATCCACTGCTTGACGGCACGTGGTTTCCAGGTACACCGACATGTCATGATATTTACCCAGGTTTTTCATGTCAATTACACGCCAAATGGAAGGGTCCTTGCAAACATTTCGCCAAGTAGTACAGACTTCCTGTGCACTCTTCAGCATATCGTGTGCCCCCAGCCGGTGCAGGATATTCGCAGTCACCTCTGGAGGCAGTTCTAACCACGGAGGCGGGGGCGGAGGCGTTGGCCGGGCGGATGATGCCGCCTCCGCCTTTGCCTTTGCCTTTGCCTTTGCCTTCTTCTTTTTGTTTTTTAGCCTCTTGAGCTTTTTCCCCATTGTAAATTTGGGGATGAGATGAAATGTAAATCCGTGGAGTAGTATGCATAATGGACGAAGTCTTAACTTTCATCATTAGAGAAATAGATCGGTCAATTAAGCCTGTATTTGACTATCATTAATTGATTTTTTTTTTTACGTACTCATTTTCAATTATAGATTCATATAATATAAAATTTTATAAATAAATCTAAAATATTTTCGTATTTTTTAACCAAAAATTTTCTTAAAAATCACTGTTCTAACATTATCTTGACCAAATAATAACCATCAAACAAGGGTTAAAACTCCTTGAAAATGGCGACATTTCTTAAGATAATACCCCATATATTGACTTGTTATTAATTAAATAAAATAATATTAAGTTCCAATTTGGTTGTGAGTAAAATTAAATTTTTAATGAATTTTGATAAAAGTTAATGAAATTACCTTACTAAAAAGTTGTGAGAACCATAAAATTTGTTTGTTGATTTTAACTTAAATTAAAATTAACGTTTTAATATGTACCAAACCAAAGCTAAATTTACTTACTATAAAGGACCGTTGTTACTTCATTTAATTTGCTTAATGAATCATTAATTAATATAAGCTCACAAATTCAATTTTGATCGTTATGGACTAGTACCTAGATCGAGTATTAAGCAAGATGACCTAATTTTAATAGCCGACCATGATAGAAATAGATAGGCACAATAAAACTCCTTCTTTAGCGATAAACATATGAACTAATGATTGAACCAAAAGATTTCATTGTTCACACGTAGATTCAACATTCATAACAACGCAAGTTATAAAATCATAGATGTATAATAAATTATATCCCTGTATGGTAGAGATTAAAATCAAATTTTTAGTAGATTTCAATAAAATTTGATAAAATAAATGATTGAAAAGTTATGCATCCGGTGAAATATATATTTTAAATTATTTGTTCAATTTGACTTAGATTTTAATCAATTTTATTTTATCCACTCCAATTGGAGACTATATATTTTACTCTTAATTTCATTATATTATATAATATTATAATTAAATTTAATTGGCAAGTCAATCGTCTAAGACTTGTAAGGTACTGTTATGCGTTTTACATAACATAATTCTATCGTAAGTGTACGATGTCAAGTTGTGTAATATAATAATGAAGTTAGGATGTCAAACTCACAGGGATTGATGTCTAATTTTTACTAGGTTTGTATAGCTCTTATTTTATCTAGATGAATGAAATTTGGAATCAATAGTTTTAACTAAGTTAGCGTGATGAATGTGATGAAGAATTCAACAAATAAATGCAAGTTAGAAAAATAATCAAGATGAGAAAGTTTTTTGTTATGATTTCACCTAACTATCAAATATGATTCTTAATTATTTATAATCAATGTTCCTAAATTTATTAGGAAGAACCCTAATTCAATTCAATTCTACTCTATCTCTCTCAAGTACTGAGTAAAAATTATTTTTATATTCCAATTTTAATATCTCTATTTTGAATTAAAATCTAGAAATTATCAAGTTTTTGGTTTTTATGTGGAAAATGCTTCAAAGGAATTAACATTTTCTCTCGAAAGATATAATTTCCTAGGTTGTACTATTCTATGATCGTGCCTAAATTTAACTCTCTCGAGTACCAAAATCGATAAACATCTAATCATTCAATTAGTGGTCAATTACTCAATTAATTGAAAGCGTTAAGAATAAATAACAGAAATAAACATGATTGGAAAATCTCAAAGAAATAACTATAATAAAATCAAAACATAATCTCAAGTTGATTATATCAAATCCTAGATTAGGTGTTTAGTACCATATTCTACAAAATTCTAGAGATTCGATATTACCAACAATTATATTTCTAGACATATTCAGAGTATGATGATTTCATATCATCATTTACGTAGATATTCGTAAAGACGCTTTCTTTGTTAATGTCTCTCACATAAATATCATCAAGTGTTTGGTTCCATCTTAATACTTGAGATCTTAACATATAAGATAGTTGTGTAACTATCATGAATCTCATATTCTCAACTAGTATCATTAGATGTTCAATACATCTATACTAAACAATTTCTTCATCTGCCAAAATATACATTATAATATATGATTCTTACTACTCTATGTAGCAAAAGTGCACAAATCTAATAATAATTGTGCTCGGCTTACTCTCATTCTAAGTCAACAATTGTATATCTATTCCAATCACAAGTTATTCCTTTGACAACGAAATAGAATAACTGACAGCAACACCCTTCAGGTATCACAATACATTTTCTAAAGATAATATTGATACCTACTAACTAGATCGATGGCATGACCAATATTATGGCAAATATACATTATAGGATACTTCTATCTCCTAACTCTTAATCGTACTAGATATAGTTTTCTAGAAATTTTGTTGTATATTTATAGAGTCTTTGGACATTTATGAAGACTTATATAATCACCTTCTGATACAGGAGTTTCAACAAGTTAGCAATTCCACATGAGTTTTTATAGTATAAAACTCTTGTAATAAAGCAAGAAGATTCGAATAATCTTTTTAACACAAATCATACAATTTGCTAAACCCACGTCATTTATTTCAAAGATTGAGGACAACCATATCAAAATGGTCTCTATGCACTCATTTTTATGCTTAACCAATCCAATCCAATGTAATCAAAATCAAAATTAGAATTACAACCAACCATCAAACCTTTACGTAAATACAATAATTTCCTTTCATATGACGAAAATTTTTGTACGAGATTTAACCATGTTAAAAACTTAAGTACGACTATCATAATGACTGTATTAGACCATGAGTGTAACTGTAAAATTACCACAATACTAAAAAGGTCTTAACATGAAATCTACAAGACAATTCATGTTGATCTCTTCAATCATTTATTAATTGAGAATAAAAATACGGTCTCTAGGTCTATTTGGTGTAACTGTAAATTTAAGCACACTATCATGGCTAGCATCGATGTACAGAAGTGATTTCCATTGTTATGAAAAAAATTATCTAACTCAATACACTCATATTGAGCATAACCTTTAAAAATAAATAAATAAATAAATTTAGCTTTATCTACCAGAAACTCATTAATCTTTCACATAGTTTTCAAGAACCCGAATGTTCTCAATAAACATAATGTTCAAATAGAACTTAGGTTAAAATTCTATACTCCGTATATATACTTTCATCACTTCCTTCAAAATTCTTCACTGGTTTTCTAAACCAGAAATCATTGACATTAAATAACTCTTAATTTCCACTTGGAACCAAAAATCATTGATATTAAATAGTTCTTAGCTCCCACTCGAAACCAAGAGTCATTGAAATTAGATAGTTCTTAGATAGCTCCCACTTGGATAGATAGGTCCAACTCGAAAATAGATTACTCACACTTGAATCAGAAGTTTGAATCAACTCTTATATATTCAAAACTGATTCATTAATACATTTAATATCAATTTCAACGATGTTCTCCAATCTTTTCTCCCTTACTGGGAAAAATGTCAAATGTCACATCTTGTGACTCAATATTTATAAAAAATTTCACTTAAATACTTTTTTTGGATTGCATGTATGTCATCAAGATACATCTCATTCTTAATAGACTCGTGTTCCCAAACTCATTATCGAGAACATGTATAATCCATTATGAGTATATGATCACCCATATTTGTTATCTACATGTCCAAAAGTTATATATTCTGAAGGTACCAACATTGAGAAAACTCCTTTAACTGATAAGTTGTAGCTTGCCAATGTTTTTTTCAAAAGCAAATACATAAGTTGGACGCATATCTCAAACCTCATCATATTCAGTAATATTCCATTCCTTCTATCAAATACACTATATAATTTATTAGTGATAGAGATTCATGCCATCAGATAATTCTCAAAGTCTTCACTTCCACAATCTGATTTTCTACTTGACTTCAAAAAAGTCTAAACTAATACAATATCTTCAACTTAAGAAAATCAGAGGCGTGAATCCATCTATAAATGTAATGAAAAGAAAAGTTTCATCTCTATCTCGCTTAATCACAGCTCGCAAAAAAATTTGAATGGATTTATTCTATTGAAGTTTAGCTCTAACAGTTTTGAATGGTTTTCTCAACTCAAAACCTCAATCCATTGCACAAATATCCGGAACCAAAATAAACATCACCATTGTGAGCACGAACAGATCTACCACATATAAGTTCAAGTAAGAGACCACTCTTCGAAGAATAATAACTGAGATCAAATTTAGTGGAGTTTTTGATACTATCTTATAAGAGGTTAGTTTCTCTACTTTGCAACACTAAGTTGCAGTACCAGTCATATAAACCTCCACTCCATCTTCATTATTTGTACATATCTATTTTGTATCAAGTTAAAGACTCGAAACCACTTTTGAGCTAAGAGATTAAATCATATAGTTGAAGCACTAGAACCTTTATAACATTGATCCTCTACCAAAACAACTTTCATTCACTTATTATCTGATATGTTCTTCTTGGTCTCTTTTTTTCAGTCGCCTCATGTACATTTGTTCTAGCTCATTTTATGCTTAAAATTCAAAATCTTATTCAAGCTAGAACATTGCTACACAGGCATATCCTCGAGACTTAGCAACATCAAGTCGTACGTCTTCTATCTCACACAACGAGCAGTGTCAATATAGAAAATCGATACTTCAATTTGTAAGTCACAATGATCTTTAAAGTTCTCATATATTGAGAAGATGCTAGTTTGAATTTACTATTCGTCTAAAAATAATGTGACCAACAAAAATATTAACACTGTGTTAATTATCAACTAAGTCACATTGGAGAAAAAGATCATTTATAACAGAACTTAACAATTCAAATGTTCAAGCATTAGAATCTATCTTTTTTTCCTACTTAACAAAGTTTCTGATCTTTATTCTCTAGAGTAGTATAACCTACATAAGGTCTTTCATTGCGTGGCTGATGCTCTCTAAAGCATCATATCCTTCTACTACACTTAAAATTTTATCATGCCAAATGTTATCGCATCTAGCTTATCATCTTTATTAAGGTCAACCATAGATTTTGATGCCATGATCTATCAAATTTTTCGAGACATTTTATTCTCAACCAATGCCCATTTATGCACATATTTAATTTTTGCATTAACTCAAATTAACGTCTATGCCAATCCGCGGCGCTTAGTCAATGAAAAAAAATTCGTTGATTCATCCCTTTAATCAATTCTAATGTTCTAAGTTAATTTGTATGGTCAGATTTTACAACATCAACTTTTAAAATTGTGTTCTGGACCTAAACAGATCTGACCAAGATTTAAAAAATGGGAAAAAAAAAGTATTGTTCATGTTTAAAAAAAAAAACAAAATTTTTAGATTTTATCAATACTTCGGGAGGCCAAAATTTATGTTCTTTATATCATTGGAAAGTTCTCGAGAAAATCTATTCAATCATAGCAAACGAGCATCACAAAACATAATGTGGAAAATATTATCGTGTGATGAAGTTTCAAATTTTACCATTTTTCACGCTAAAAATTAGATTCATATCTAAACTTTGGAAGGCTATAACTTCTTCAGTCCAAGGCCAAAATTTATGTTCTTTATATTGTTGGAAAGGTCTCGAGAAGATTTATCCAACGAGACTAAATGGGCATCATGAAGTACGATCCGAAGAAGTTATCATCTCATGAAGTTTCTGATTTTACAAAGTTTCACTCAAAAAATCAGATTTACATCTAAATTTCGGGAGGCCATAACTTTCTCATTTCAAGCCCAAAATTAATGATCTTTATATCATTGGAAAGGTCTTGAGAAGATCTATGCAACCATACCAAATAGACAGTATGAAACCTAAAGTATAAAAAATTATCATGTGATGAAGTGCAGGATTTTATCATGTTTCATGCCAAAAATTCATATTATTTTTCAAATTTCAAAACCTCATAATTTCTTCATTTTAAGTCCAAAGTTTAAGTTCTTTATATGATTGGAAAGCTTATGAGAAGACCTTTCTAACCATACTAATCTTACTGCATGAAGATGAACAAATAGATGACAGTAAATTATCAAATGATGCTACTAAGTACCACATAAGGTTTCAAAACTTTGCATACAAGATTCATAACCAAAATTGTATCATGTAATGGCATATTTAAGCATGAATTATAGCAAGGAATTCAACCTTAAGGCTCTGATACCAATGTAGGAAATCGCAACATACTTTGACGTGAATTTCGGGTCAAAATACTTACTTGAATGATGAATTTCAAGATCTTTGTGTTGTTAAATCATCTTACTATCCAAGCATTAAAATCTACATTTTCTAGTACTCCAATAGTCCCAATCCTGATCACAATGAAAGTGGATTATTATCCACAATTTAAATGCCAATTTTTGTGAGATTTCATGCTAAAAATATGGTTTTATGGACTTTCCAATTTTGATGTGAATTTTCATACGAAAATTCACTTTTTTTTTTTTTTCATGCCACCACCTTTTTTTTTTTCCATAACTTCTATATAGAGGTTGTAAGGCATTGTAGATTTGAATTCCAAATTCAAACCACTCCCTCAAATCCTTTTAAAATCTTGCGGGTTGGGTCGACCCATTACCCGTATTTTCCAATAGCCACCAACATGAGAAGCATCATTGAACAAAAGTCAACCATGCAACTCCCCCCCAACAGGTGCAACAGGCACAAATAGCCATACGGATGCCCCCCAATATGCCTCATCTTGGTCTCTTCCAAGGTCAATAGGAGAATCAACAAGGAACAGAAGAAGAAGTGCAGAGTGACAGGACCCAAAACCAAAGGAGTGAAGGAGAGAGAAGCTTCGTTGATGATGATCAGAATACAGTAGTATTGTTCATTGGCATTTCTTGCTAAATGAGTTATATTTTAGTTAACATTTCATTTTAAGAATTGATATTACCAAATCCTACTAATTCAATGAAATAACATCGTTTGTATAAGACGTCGTGATAATATATAAAATGTCCCTCGCATGTTGAAAGACGTGGTGTTATGTACTGTTTCTAGTTATAACATCGTTCGTATGTCCCTCGTAGTATTGTTTATTAGCATTTCTTGCTAATTGAGTTATATTTTAGTTAACATTTCATTTTAACAATTGATATTACCAAATCCTATTGATTCAATGAAATAACATCTTTGTATAAGACGTCGTGATAATATATAAAATGTCCTTCGTATGTTGAAAGACGTGGTGTTGTCTACTGTTTCTAATTGCAATTTGAATTAATATTGACAATTGAAAAGGGTAATATAGTTAATAATATCGCGATAACATTTGATATTTACCAAACCATATTACACAAACAATGATGTAACATCCTATTTGTTTCCAATTCTTAGCCCAACCAGAATGCATTTTTGGACTATTGAGCTGTAAATTTTTTGAAAAATGATAGTTTGCCAGGGTCTTTGACCCTGGCCAGACTATCTCTCGAACAAGGGAGCCCACAACCATTTTTTCAGGACAAAAAAAATGCCCACCCTCTCATAGTCTGGCTAGGGTCTGTGCAAATGACTCTGGCAAACTAGCATAGTCCAAATTTTTTACCTCCTCTTTGTGTGAGTCCCAATTGCAGGCAAATAAACAATCCAAAAATGGATTATTGTGTACAAAGAATAAGTGCTTATTTGATAAGGATTTTGATAATTGATTTTTTGACCGTTAGAGATAAAGTGGATCCTACCTGTGGGAGAATATTCAAAAACGACGGCAGGAATGGTGAAATAACGGTCAAAAAATTGATTTTAATTGGCTTTTAAGCTGTACCAAACAAGCTCTTAGAAACAAAGACACGCTTAACGTAGCCTCACTAGTTATATTTGCAATTTCTTGGAACAAAAATTGGGGTCAAAATACTAAGAGGTAATATAATTAGATAGAGAAATATAATTTTTAATTAATTTCTGATAGATTACTACAAGAATTCAATATTTAAGGGTTACTGAAATTCATACACCATATCCATTTAATGAAGTGTTCATTTCTAAACCTAATTAAACAAAGCCCTCTAGACATGTTGGATACATGGTAACCGAACAATAACGATTATTTAACTGACTTTCATTTTAAATACCTTCCACTATCGGTCGGTCTACAAATCAGTTTAATCTTCCAAAATCACCTTGCAAAAATAAGTTTTTATATCCACAAACCAAGCCTTGCAACAAAGGAGAAAAAAATGTGACTATTATAAGTGAGCCAATAAATAACGAGCAAATTTCACTAACTCAAACTAGCGGCAAGTTAAAAATGCAGTTACAATGGAAAGTTCACGTTAAAGGCATGCTTAGTACTAGACAGAACTAAAAAGTAAAAACGAAACAAAGATTTTGTAGATTAATACCAGCCGGTTCTATGTAATACTGCATGGCAAACATTAGAAATGTTTTATCACCCCAAATTGGTTCGAAGCTCAATCAAAGTAGAAATATGGGTCGACTCCACCATCAGAATCGTAGTCGCTTCCACTATAATGAAGGTAATCATCGTAATCATAATAATTATCGAGAGAAAACTCTGAAATCTCAGATGAGCGGTAGTAATCTTCATCATATTCATCACAATCAAAAATTTCAGGATCCCACTCGCAATCTTCCATGGAGTCATCAGGACGCTTGAAGTCTTTGATCTTTTGAGTAATCCTTTTCCCCAACTCCCCACTTAGATCAACATTCAGACATTTCCGGATGTCAAGCAATTCAAGAAGTGGACAACCGTCAAGAATGGCTTGCAGGCCCTCATTTGTCATATTATTTCCCAAAAGTTGAAGGCGGTGCAAACCTGGCATGCTTTTTGCAATTGCTAGTGCATCAGCATCACAAAGGAGTTGTGGGTGTTTGTACCCCGACTCACTAAGTGTAAACGACCTCAACTTAGGGCAGGAACGACCAATAGCTTCAATACCTTCATTACAATTCTTTACAAAGACGAAGTGCAATTCTTCCAACAGGGGAAATCCTTTAGCTGCTTCACTCAACCCGTCACCTGATACTTCAGAGCAACCCCCAAGTCGAAGACACCTAAGCTGACTTGATCTGTTGAACAGGTGAAATTTAGATTGCAAAAGCTAAACGACTTGGAAAAAGCAATTATATTTATTGTTCCATGCTTGTAATTAAAACATAATCTTCTAAAAGGTTCAGCTAAGACACAGGTTATATCAGACATCTTCACGCAAACATCACCAAAACTAAAGCATTAAGAAAAAAAACGAATGAAATGGTAAGCGTTCAAACTATCTTTACAAAATTCAATTAACTAGTAAAATGCACTCACCTTCTTTCTCAGGTATGGAAATTATACAGCAAGTCAAGGTGACTAAACATAAAAAATGATCGGATAACATACGAAACATGTCAACAGGAAATGGATGCTAACATTTGCAACATCGTGTTCAGAAAAATGGATTTTCCTTTCCGAGTGAGCAAATATTAAACTAAGAATGTTCAGCACGCGTTAGAAGTACAAGGGCATTCTTTTTCCATATCCATAAAAAAACCTAAAATATGCATAACAAAAAAATAGGAGGAAGCCGCTCATGAATCATACAACGTACGTTAAGGACCAAAGCTGAGCAAAACCAACCAAGATAAATACTTAGACACGCTGCAGGATTAGTTCACAATCAATCATAACATTTAATTTGCCAAATAAACTGTGTTCTAATAAATTCATTCAAAACAAAATTACAAAATAAATCTGACAGATAATAATATCCCCAAAACAATTGCAGCTATATATACTGAATTCCACCACAAAGCCAAGATCAACATCATATGTCACTTTGTGCCATTGGCCACAGTATTATATAAAACAATAAATAGTTCCTACAGGAATCTTTTCAGCACTTCTTCTAAAATCAATCACTATACCAGTTCACAAATGGAAGCAATACTCATTACTTGTATGATGAGCAGATGAAGATGTTTATGCAAAGACACAAACCTCCCATCTATCAGGAATGAACTCTCCATGCAAGCATTTTGTCAGATAATTTTTTAGAAATTTGTATAATCAAAAGCTAGAGAACCTTAATATTAAGGGAATACAGCCTTAATCCTAATTACACAAAACAACAAACACTTGTCACTATAATTAATTGAGAATCATGGACAAGAATTGCTACTCTTGATTTAAACATCTGTTGACAACTAAAAATGACGTCATAAGATTAGATTAACTTGAGGGAAATGTTTATAGAGTATTGCTGGAATTGGATCAGAAGTAAAAAGTATTTGCATTAAAGAAAACCTGTTGTGGAGGGTTTATTGCCAAGTGACTTAGCTCTGCCTTAGGAAGGGTTCATTTGCCAAGTGACTTAGCTCTGCCACTTGCCCGTCCAGCGTCATTTCAGCTACAGTGCTGGCCTAGGAGTCTGTGCCACCGCCCAAAATCTTGGTTCTCTCATTGGTTGCTGAGATTGGGCAAGCTGATCATCATGATGCCTATGTTGCAGCCATGACATCAGGCAATGATGACCTGATTCTGGGTAATTTTTGTTTACTTGCAATTGGTTGAAATTTATGCGCTGATGTCGTGATCACCACATGTCATACTGAAAGTGGTTGGTGAGGCAGGGCAATGTGGCAGTGATTATGAATCATGGTGTCTTCGTAAATTATAGCAGCTATGGTCCGATACGATCTCAGGCCTTTGGCGTCCGATCTCAAGGTTAGTACATGATCAATAGTCTGAACTATTTATTTAAGGAGGTATGAAGTCAGACACCAACAACATCTATCCTATAACTATTTTTTTTAAACATAATTAACAGTTCTTGTCAGCTACATCAAGCATTGCATCTCTTTCAGACAAAATTCCCTAAAATTTCGATAGCTTCATATTGCATTGGCTACTCTCATATATGGATCATTAAGTACTAGAAAACTAGTTGCCAACCAGCAATTGTAAAATATTACTCAAACGTCACAAGATACAAAGAAAATTAATTACGAGTCACCAGCATGCAATCATTTTTCTTTCCTTTACTGTACTTTTCATTTTTATCAATTGGTATTCTGGTACACTAACAATTAGTACATATTATCTATCAAGTGTGCTTTTATGTGCTTCTTGACGGAGTTTGAATATCACATCAAACTTTGGAAATGACAAAAGAAGAATTGGACTGAAATAATTAGCCCTCATTTGCAATAAACTAAGGGCTTGTTTGGTTTGGATTAAAAATCTAAGTTAAAGTCAAACAATCAATATTAACATCTTTCATGGGTTCCATAACTACAAACATATCCCATGAGAAAAGCTTATCGAAAAATCAATCTACTTCCCCTTTTGAAAAACAGTTTCTTCTTGAAAAAAAAAAAAATCAAGTGAAAGTTTTGAAGAAAAAATCATATTTATCTTTACTTTCAGGAATTTTTTACACATGAAGAAACAAAAAGCAACGTGTTTGAAGTTGTCCTTGAAGAAAGGACAAGAAAAACTTCGAAAGATCTCACTCTAGAAGACCCTTCTGCAGAAAAGAGACATCTTTTCAAAATAATTGCAAGCGAAGATAGTAGCACTAACTCGCAAAAAGTAATAAGAGGTATCTTTGAGGATGAAACCTATACTTATCATCATCGAGCTCACCATCAAAGAAGAAAAAGGGTTGTTGCTTGCTTCACCAGAGATATGGCAGCAATGGCCACCAACATGAGAAGTATCACAGAATAAAAGTCAACCATGCAACTTCTCCTCCAACAAGCACAAGCAAGCATACAAATGCCCCCCAATAAGCCTCATCATGGTCTCTTCCAAGGTCAATAGGAGAATCAATAAGGAGCGGAAGAAGTGCATAGTGACAGAGTTTAAGAGAGAGAAGCCTCATTGATGATGATCGGAACGCACTAGTATTGTTCATCGACATTTCTTGCAAAATCCTATTGATTCAATGAAATAACATCGTTTGCATAAGACGTCGTGATAATATATAAAATGTCCCGCGTATGTTAAAAGAAGTGGTATTGTCTTCTGTTTCTAATTGCAGTTGAATTAATATTGACAACCGAAAAGGGTAATATAGTTAATAATTTCACGATAACATTTGATATTTACCAAACCGTATTACACAAAAAATGATGTAACATCGTATGTATAGGATGCTGTTATTTTAATGTAGCCTCACTAGTTATATTTACAATTTCTTGGAACTAACATTGGGGTTAAAATACCAAAATAGGTAAAATAGTTAGATATAGAAATATAAATTTTAATTAATTTCTGATAAATTACTACAAGAATTCAATATTTAAGGGTTACTGAAATTCATACACCATATCCATTTAATGAAGTGTTCATTTCTAAAACTAATTAAACAAAGCCCTCGAGACATTTTTAATACATGGTGTATGACGAATTTCATGTATTAAAATACAAAAATTGTTATAAATTGTATTGCGAGAAATACAAGTGATGTTAATATTCTTGTAATTGTAAAATTGCAAAAATTCGCTGATTAATGATCTGAATGTTTGAAGATGAGGGGGCCATGTGGCTTGAATCCTGATATTCGAGAATTCGCTGAAAAATTGATTTGTTGATACATAACTTGTTTGGCACTTGAATTTCGGGGTTTGGACTTGAACTTGAATTTAAATTGATTTGAAGAAAACGTTGATTTTCTTGGACTTGACTTGAGCCTGTTTGATTTTAAGAAGATTTTTTATCCTCTTGGGATTCATCGAATTTGGATTTGAGATAATTTCTTCTCTTCCTCTGATTTTGAAATTTTTTCAGCACTTCGTAATTATCTTATGCACTTTCACTTATTCCTTTCTCCCCTTATGGACCATTAGTCCTATTTACGGGAAAATTTTCGTGACCAATTTTTATAACCACTCAATTATTTTTAATTAAAATGAATAATTTAGTAATTATGATTTTGTTTATTTATTTAAAAAAAAAAAAAAGAGATGGACCTTAGTAGACTTAAATTTTATTGGACTAATTGTTTAAATCAACCCAATCCATTTTATTATTTATTTATGTCTATCAATGGTAACCAAACAATTACAATTATTTAACTGACTTTTCATTTTAAATACTTTCCACCATTGTTCGGTCTACAAATCAGTTTGATCTTCCAACCAAGCCTTGCAACAGAGGAGGGAAAAAAGTGACTATTATAAGTGAGCCAATAAAAAACGAGCAAATTTCACTAACTCAAACCAACTATAATGGCTAGCGGCAAGTTAATAATGCAGTTATAATGGAAAGCTCACTCTAAGGGCACACTTATTACTTAATACTAGACAGAACTAAAAGGTAAAAATGAAACGAAGCAAAGATTTTGTGGATTAATACGAGCCAGTTCTATTTAATACTGCATAGTAAAACATTAGAAATGTTTTATCGCCCCAAATTGGTTCGAAGCTCAATCAAAGTAGAAATATGGGTCAACTCCACCATCAGAATCGTAGTCACTTCCACTATAATGAAAGTCACCATGGTAACCAATATGGATTTTATTGAGGGTACAGGGGTTCTGCCCCTACAAGCACTCATAGCTGGTGGGTCTTGCAAAATGTCACCCACCCCATCCATGTGAGTACCTGTAGGGGTTCTATTAGAGAACCCCTGTACCTCAAGCAAGGTTCAACCAATAACCAAAATAATCACCATAAGAAAAGTTTGAAATCTCAGATGAGGGGTAGTAATCTTCATCATATTCATCACAATAAAAAATTTCAGTATTCCACTTGCAATCTTCCATGGAGTCGTCAGGACGCTTGAAATTTTTGATCTTTTGAGTAATCCTTTTCCCCAGCTCCCCACTTAGATCAACATCAAGACATTTCTGGATGTCAAGCGATTCAAGGAGTGGACAACCGTAAAGAATGGCTTGCAGGCCCTCATTTGTCATATTATTTCCCAAAAGTTGAAGGTGGTGCAAACCTGGCATGCTTTTTGCAATTGCTAGTGCATCATCATCACAAAGGAGTTGTGGGTGTTTGTACCCTGACTCACTAAGTGTAAATGATCTCAACTTAGGGCAGGAAAGACCAATAGATTCAATACCTTCTTTACAATTTGTTACAAAGACAAAGTGAAGTTCTTCCAACAGGGGAAATCTTTTAGCTGCTTCACTCAAGCCGTCACCTGATACTCCATAGCAACCCCCAAGTCGAAGACACCTAAGCTGACTTGATCTGTTGAATAGGTGAAATTTAGATTGCAAAAGCTAAACAACTTGGAAAAAGCAATTATATTAACTAGTAAAATGCACTCACCTTCTTTCTCAAGTATGGAGATTATACAGCTCAAGTCAAGGTGACTAAACTGTTAGTATTTATTTATAATCATGCTAAGAATCGATAATCACAATCCAATAAATTAATAAAACGAATTCATACCTGCGGAAGCCATTGTTGATATGAATAATTGTTGTAATAGCAGCCAAGATCTTCCCCTCCTTGCTCCTCACAAAGTAATAGCTATCAATGGGGCAAACCAATAAAATATATAGAGAGGAGAGGGGACCTAGCCTTTATATATAGGAAATAATTGAGCCGTCCCATTACGACTAGAATTCTAATTAGGGTTTATTTCCGGCCAACATACTTTAAATTACCACATCAAATTAATTACAACCCGTAAGGTGTAAAAAGCCCAATTGATCACTTAATAAATTTGGCCCAAACACAATTATCATTATGAACCTTACATCTAACCTGTAAAATTTGCAATCCAATGTGAAGCCCACATATGGAATAATTAATTATTCCAACATTCTCCCACTTGGGCAAATATTTAATTGCCATAACAAAATTTTAACACCCGAGTTCGACTACAAGGTGGCCACAAAAGTATAGCTCCAATGATGACACCTTACGTAACATGATCCGGTCCAACAAGAATATTAACACCAAACATGGAAGTCATTACACCAATTTAAGAGATGTAAGACCATTCCACAGTTACAAATGTCAACATTCTTATCGACATGGATCCCCATCCTCCAACCAATGTGGTAGTATATGGTATGAACTTAGCACCAAATGTGATCAAAATTGTGCTAACTCATATCGGTCCTCATAATGCTTCGATTCAAAATGAAGCCACATGTCACTAAAAGAGACTCATCTTATATCTTTATACGTCATATTTCAGGATGCCAATAATATAAAAAGATATAAGTCAAATGCATGCTTAAAATTAGTTCATGGATAAGGGAAAAATATTTTATTATCAGAAGGGGCTGTACCCGAAAACATATGGGTTGCCTACGTACCCCGCAAGGGATCAAGCCCAAAGCGTAGTTCTTTACATAAATAACTCCCACTAACCAAAAATATCAAATATTTCCCCAATACCCATATTAGTAACATGTGTCTTAAAGACTTTTGGAGCGAGTCCCTTAGTCTAGGGATCTGCAACCATCGCCTCTGTATTGATATGCTCTATTTTCGTCTGTCCTTCTTTGATTCTGTCTCTAACAACCAAGTATTTGATGTCAATATGTTTTGATCCACCAGAATTTTTATTATTCTTTGAAAAGAATACTGCTGCACTGTTATCACAGTAGATGGTGATCGGTCTTGAGATGAAATCAACAACTTTCAAGCCAGAAATGAAATTTATTAACCAAACGGCTTGGATTGTAACCTCATAACATGCCACAAATTCAGCTTGCATAGTAGAAGATGCCACTGAAGTCTGTTTAGCACTTTTCCAAGAAATGGCACCACCAGCTAATGTAAAAATGTAACCTGAGGTTGATTTCAAATCATCTTGACATCCAGCAAAATCAGAATCTGAATATCCTACCACCTCAAGATAATTTGTACGTTGGAATGTAAGCATATAATTTTCAGTTTTCTTCAAATATCTCATTACTTTCTTAGCTGCTTTCCAATGCTTTTGTCCTGGATTAGACTGAAATCTGCTAAGGACACTTACTGCGTAGGTTATATCCGGTCTAGTGCAAACTTGAGCATACATCAAGCTCCCCACAACACTAGCATATGGAATCATCTTCATAGATTCCCTTTTTAGCTCATTCCTTGGACATTGAGTTTTGTTAAATTTATCTCCTTTTATGATAGGTACATCACCTGGTGCATAATTTTGCATATTAAACCTTTCTAGAACACATCGTATAAAAGCTTTCTGAGAAAGTCCCAATAAGCCACGATTTCTATCACGAT